ATTAGTCGCAGTGGTGTTTGCTCTGAAAAAGTGGAGGCATTACCTATACGGGGTGACTTTCGAAGTGTATTCGGATCACAAGAGTCTTAGATACCTTTTCTCTCAGAAGGAACTGAACATGAGACAACGAAGGTGGATGGAATTCCTGGAAGACTACGACTGTACGATCAATTACCATCCGGGAAAGGCGAATGTGGTAGCAGATGCCTTGAGTCGTAAGGTGCAAGTAGCAGGACTAATGATTAAGGAGTGGGATTTGCTAGAATCCGTGTGCGAGTGGAAACCCTGTCTTGGGAGTCATAAGGTGATATTTAGCAATGTAAGGGTGACCTCCACTCTACTGGAACGTATAATAGAGGCGCAAGGCGAGGATTTGATGGTACAGAAATGGAGAGAGAAAGTGGATAAGAAAGAAACAACGAATTTCAATTTGAATCCTGAAGGCATTTTGAAGTATCGAAACCGAATAGTGGTACCAAAGGAGGAGTCGTTAAAAATGGAGATTTTGGAGGAAGCTCATCGGTCCAAGAATACAATCCATCCGGGCAGCAGCAAGATGTATCAAGACCTGAAAGGGACTTATTGGTGGGACAATATGAAGAAGGAAATTGCTCAATATGTACAAAAGTGTCTCATTTGTCAACAAGTGAAAGCGGAACATCAGAAACCATCGGGTTTATTGCAATCCTTGGAGATACCCGAGTGGAAGTGGGAAAACATCACGATGGACTTCGTTTCAGGTTTACCGAGGACGCAAAGAGGACACGATGCCGTTTGGGTGATCGTTGATCGGTTAACCAAGTCGGCTCATTTCTTGCCGGTGAACATGAAGTATTCAATGGACAAGTTGGCCCGACTGTACATGGACGAGATAGTGAGACTACACGGTGTTCCTGTGAGCATCGTCTCTGATCGGGATCCACGGTTTGTATCTCGGTTTTGGCAGAAGTTCCAAGAAACCTTGGGGACTAAACTGAATTTGAGCACGACTTATCATCCTCAGACGGATGGACAGTCAGAGCGGACGATTTAAACTCTCGAAGACATGTTACGAACGTGCATTCTGGACTTTGGAGGCAACTGGGGTCAGCACATGACCTTAGTAGAGTTTGCGTACAACAACAGCTTCCATTCGTCGATTCAAATGGCTCCGTATGAAGCCCTATACGGACGCAAATGCCGCTCGCCGATTTACTGGGATGAAGTTGGCGAAAGGAAAGCTTTAGACCCGGCAACTATTCCATGGATGGAAGAGGCTCAAGAGAAGGTCAAATTGATAAGGCAACGGATCCAAACCGCTCAAAGTCGCCAAAAGAGCTACGCGGATAATCGAAGAAAAGATTTGGAATTTGAAGTTGGAGACCATGTGTTTCTCAAAATCACACCTTTACGAAGTCTTACAACGGGCAAAGGAAAGAAACTTCAACCGCGGTACGTCGGACCCTACAAGATCCTACAAAGAGTAGGAGCGGTCGCGTATCGATTGGAACTGCCATCCAGTCTCTCTCGAATCCATGATGTATTTCACGTCTCGATGCTAAAGAAGTATCATCCAGACCCATCCCATGTATTGCAACCGGAGGAGATTGAAGTGGACGAATAGCTGGCCTATGAAGAGAAACCGGTCCAAGTGCTCGATCGAAAAGTCAAAGAGCTTAGAAACAAGCGGATTCCGCTAGTGAAGGTGCTATGGAGAAACCACGGAATTGAGGAAGCCACCTGAGAGATGGAAGAGGAAATGCGAAAGAAATACCCAAACCTTTTCGAGAACTAAGGTGAGAAATTTCGAGGACGAAATTTTTTTAAGGGGGGGAGAGTGTGAGAACCCAGATTTACCCTAATTTTTTCTAGGGTTTTTCCCCTTAAATTTCATGTTTTCTGCATTTTCTGGCCTAGGAATATTTTCTTGGTGGATTTTATGAGCAATTATAGTTTTAAGATGATTTTTCTAGTATTGGTGAATTTTTAGAAAATTAAGAATATATATTGGACGTGGGACCCACGAGTGCGATAAGTTCGGGAAAATTCGGCCAATAAGGTTAAGTTTCGGATACTGTGAAAAATTTATCGGGTGTTAAGAGATAAGTAGTGTGTGTGAAATGATTGATGTGAGAGAGAAAAGAATGATAAGAATGCATTTAATGAGGTGACAAGTGTCATCTTCTCATTGGTTGGACTTTAAGAAACACTATTCACATTTTTGACTTTTGACCAAAATTAGTTAATATCTCCAAAAAATTCACAAAATTCACCATTTTTCTTCTCATTGTGGCCGAACCTCTCTCTTGCAAGGAGGAAGAAAGTTCTTCAACATTTCAAGCTTCCAACTTGTCCAATCCACCAAATCAAGTGTTTAACTTAGTTTTTACTCCATACAATCTTTCCTTCTAGTGATAGTAAGTGTATTAGTGAAGTTTGTTTGAAGCTCTAAGGTGGCCAACACCTCTCTACATCTCTTGATACTTGGTAAGTGATGCTTGAACCTCTACTACACCTAATGATGGTTATTTTATGCTTAGAAGTGGCTTGAGTGTTGGAATATATGATTTATTTCTTGGTTTGGCTTGATTTGGTGAAGTTTTCCATTTTATGAGGAATTTTCTGGTTTCATATGATTTTGATGTTGTGGACTAGTATGATGGTTGGTAATAAGGGGCTTTGGCTCTAGTAGGTGTGAATTGTTGTGAAATGCAATCAATTTTGGATTTGGAATGAAATGTGAGAAGTTAGGGTTCATGAACCCCTAATCTGTCCGAAATTTTAGGTCATATATAGAGGCCGAATTGGACTTTTCTTAAAACATGAAAGTTGTAGGTATTGATGAGTTTGATATGCCTGCAAAATTTCAGGGAATTTGGAGTAGTATAGAGAGAGTTATGCCGTTTTTACTGTTGCTGTTTTTGGTGAACAGAATGTCCGAACTGCGATAGTAATTGCCTGTTTTGACTGGATTTGGTTTGGATTTTGAAGTTGGTGTCTTCTGATGAAATGTAGCTGGATATCTTAGCTAACTTATGCCTTTGGAATTTCGACATTTGGACATGTATAGCCTGAGTTGTGTTCATTACAGTTTTGTGTGTTTTGCAAACCTGTTTTGGTAATGCTGGTTTAGTATTTGGCGTATTTGACCTAGTTGTGCTAGGATCTGGACTGAGTGGCCTTCTACATTGTTGTAGCCCTGTTTCATAGCTTCGAAACGGTGGATTTTACACCCCCAACCGATAATTGTAGTGAGAGTTGTGCCATTACCGCATTATGACGTCAAAACCGGTTTTCTTATCAAGGCCTACATTAAAGCCTTTCTTAATTTCTGGTTTGCTATCATGCTTGTATATGGTTGTAAAACCCTATTAGGGTTATGATTGGCATTGCTATATGGCTTGGAATCGAGTCTCATTGAATGTGTTACATGTGTTAGGACGTGACGGTAGCTCACGACGTCTTGGTGACCACGGTGTATGAAACACCACTTTCTTGCTTAGTGAGTATACTACTCACTTACTTGTTATAATGTGGCTTTGTGCTATGTGTAGTGATGCCTTGAAGGCTTACTTGGATATTGAAATTGATTAAGGTGAGGGTGTACTTGACCGCCCTCATCTCTTTTGATATTGTCACTGATTGGCTACCGTTTTACTGCATTACTGAACTTGATATATTGGTTGGTGAATTCCATTTTATGGAAACTGATTTGGTGTTGTTTGGACGATGTCCAACGACCTTACTGTATTACTGAGCTCAACCCCGTTTGGTAGTCAATTGGATCGAGCCGGCGAGGGCTTGGTCGTGAAGATTGAATTGCCACGGGGACTGTACTGGGGAACCTTGTGGTAATGAGACCCTTGGTTCCGGTAAACTCGAGTATTACCAAAAACTACTGAATTGGAGTGCGGGCCCGGTTGGGGTATATTGGGTGGAAGGAATGGAAGTATAGTGAGGTCTACGGTTTGGTACTCTTAACATTGACGGAGGGTCAATGAGATTGGATCAAGATGGCAAGCGTGGAATTGGGCTCTTGAGAGCCGACCGTATCCTTTTACCGTTTTGCTTTACTGCTTATTTGTGCACTTTAAATAAAAGTTCATCCTTATGTGACTTTGGTTGCTTATGTAGTAGTGTACCACTGGGTTTTAGCTCATTCCGTGTTATTTGTTTTCCTTACAGGAATTGCAAACGGTTATGACAAGTTGAGCTCATGTATATGTATTTTGCTTAGCTCCTTGAGGGTGAAAACCCTAAGTGTTTTGATTCACCAATGTTTGGTGTGTAAATGGCTACTTGTTTATGTATGAACTAAATAGCTATTTTGGTATGCCATTTTGGCTTGACCATGTTGGATTTCAATGTGTATATGTTAAATTGATGTTTGGATGAACTTCGGAACGATTCGGCTTTCAAACGGCAAAAGAAAATTTTGAACGAAAAGGCACTGGACTGAATCCGGCCAGGAATCCGGCCAGAAACTGGCCGGATTGTCGGCCGGATTGTGAAGGGTTTTGAAAAAAATTTCGGATTACTCTCTGCCTTGTATCCGGCCGAGAATCCGGCCGGAAATCCGGCCAGATTCTGGCCGGATTCTGACGTGGCCTGCACTATTCATCTTCGGCGCAAATTTTCGTTTTTTTATTTTGACTCTTTTGACTTGTTTGCGTGCTATGGTATGTTACGGAACGTTATAGATCGACGTAAACTGTGCCGTAGTCCTGGCGAGAGCTGGGCAGGCAGTCCGCTAACCCCTTTGGTTCGCCTTAGGGGAAGGTGGGGCTGTCACATTGTCCAACTCAAGAAATTCAACACAAGACAACCATTTGATAGTGTAATGTATTTTTTAATTTGACAATGTAATGTACTTTTCATAAAATTTATATTATCTATTTATTACTTCTTACTTTGTAGAATAATAATAAAATTAAAATATGATCTTTATTTTGTAATTATTTTTTTACATGTTATTTGAAATTTTAAATATATTGTTATATTCGTATTAAAATTGGTAAGGATAAGGAATTAAATAAAATTGTATATAACCATACGGAACCGAAAACCAGAACCAGAACTATAAGGAACCAAAATCAGAACTATGCAGTTCTGGTTCTAACAGTTGGTTCTAGAACCGTGGCCATGCCTAACTGAAGACACTATGGTGCGAACTTTTCAGCGGGAGGAAAAGTGCACTGATGGGTAACACAAATACAAATGAAGGGCAAATCTATGTCAACATAATCACAGTATCCTATGCCATCGAACTTCTCCTTGCAAACTGCCGGACAGGTTTCAAGATCATCCTTAGGACATACATTGGGTATAAACTTTTTGCAAGTAAGTTCTCGTGCATGAGTATTCCCTGCCGCTGCCCCCAAGAAAAAAAAGAAAAAAAAACACACACAAACACATTACTCATGAGAATGTTAAGTAATTTGAAAAAAAAAAAGAAATATCCAGTGAATTAATCTAACTGAATTTAATATTCAATTATGAATAAAGACTACTTCTCAACTAGCATATAATATCTTACGGTATAAGCACATGCAGATATTATTTTCTGAACTTTGGTTTAAAAGAATAAAAAAGAGAACATAACCAAATTAAGAGAAATGAAGTACAAAATAACATGTATTTATAAATTGAATAATGCACATACCTAAAAGAACAAGAGCAAGAAGCAGGATGCAAGCATAAGAAGTTTGAGCAGCCATATCTATAGGTAAGGTATTTCGTCTAAGAGCTTTGTATCTATGTGAATGAAGAACAAAGTGAAGTAAATGTATTCTCACAATCTTATTTATAGTATACATTAAAGAACCGGGGCGGAGGAGGGGGTTGGACCGGGTTAAGTGATAAGATAGGAGGAACTTACAGAGAAAGAAAGAATTTACATTAGAGAAAGTTACGTTGAGAACAAGAAAAATGATTTCTTCCGTACAGGAAACTAGCTACCATATGCGCATAAGCAAAATTGGAAAATAATTTACTTCCCTAATGTAAGATAGTTGGCTGTTTGATTGAAAGATTCCAATAATATAAAAGATGGAGTACCAATTAATCATCTAAACTCCAAATCGGTGCAAGTCTTAAAAGAGCAATCCTTATATAAACGGCATTAGACAAGCAACCTTCTTAATTTTGCGTTCAGGATATGGAATCCTACATTACATTACCTGAGCACAGGGTAAAGCTCCCACAAACGCACCAACTTTTGCTGGTTAGCTTCCTACAAAATGTACGAGGAGTGTAAGTTAAAGCGAAAACTCCCAATTAGTCAAATATTAAATATCTAACCAAATCTTTATAAAAAAAAAATCAACAATTAAATAAACAAAAATTACCAAAAAAAAAACTAATGTGCCTTATTCTTTAATGTAGATAAGGGAAATAGACATTACGTCCAAACTTAAGAGGCAAAGTGAAGATTATCACATTTAGATTTGGCTTGGACTTGGAGGGATCTTTTAGAATGACAAAAGTTGATGGAATAGCAAAGTGAAGATTATCACATTTAGATTTGGCTTGGACTTGGAGGGATCTTTTAGAATGACAAAAGTTGATGGAATATTGAGTCATTTACGTCTTTTTGTCAGATTGATTTAGCTCCAAAATACAAGCTGTGTATCAAAACAACTCTTCAATTCTAACATCTCTATTACCACAAAAGAATTAGAGCAAGTAATGAAACAAACAAAAATCAAAAAAATAAAAAGAAATAAACTCCACCTTGTATCGAAGGAGGATGAATGACAGAGAGAAAATTGGCCTCTCTGCAATCCAAGTGCTGACTTCAAAAAATGTTAATAATGGGAGACTGGTTGATTTAAAAATTAACGGATAAGATTAAGTATAAGTCACAAATTTCAATTATTAATAAAACTTCTTTGCTTTTGCATGTTATTGTTTTAATATGTGTATGTTATTTTAGTATCTACGCCTAATGTGTTAGTGCATGCATTATTTTCTTTTACATTTATAATTGAAATAACAATAGTGAGCAGCTATTAATCCCAACCTGAATGGAAATCAACAAAGAGGTTGTATTAATAGGTTATTGGTTACCCCAACGGGTCAGTAGTTGAACTCGTAGATTATTAAAATATAATTTGTAATTAAAATAGTATTTTGAAAATCAAACCAAATTCGCTTGACTAGTTTAGTTGTGACTATAATAGCACCGCTGTGCCTTTTTATTAAATATGGAAGGCTAAAAGATCGGTCAAACTTAGTCAAGGACTGATTGAACCAACAAAACCAATAAAAAAATAGACCATTTAATCAATTTCTATTAACTTTTTCTCTTTTTTTTTTTGTTTTTAAACAAAGAGTCCTTGCTTGACCCTATGTTTTAAAACTCGGACTGGACCGGCCGGTCCGACCGGAAACCGGCCAAGTGTTCGGTCCGAGTTATGTTAAAAAACCGGGTAAGTAAAAACCCGGTCAAATCTGGTCAAAAACGGGGTTTTTTTTTTTTTTGCCAGCAACGATACATTGTATAACCTACTCTATCCTAATCTAGGGGAGGGGGAGTCTAAGGAAGCTTGTGTGTTAGGAACTAGTGGGTATACAGACCCAACTAGACCAAGTGCTATGGCACTACGTTTAGATTTTTTTTGCTATAGGTGAGGGTTCCCTTCCTGGCTCAGTGGTTGGTCAAAAACCGGGTTTGACCGGAAAAAAACCGGATTTTCTGGTTCAATCAACCATTTTTAAAAAAAATTCAAACTTTTTCAATATTATGTTGTGACTCCTAAATTGTTAAAAATTATTAATATATCTCAAATATTTCATACTTTATAAATGTTGTCTTAAAGTTTAGTGTTATTTTTCAATTAAGTCCATAATTTTAATTCTAAACTTGTTAATACTCATTAAATAATATAAATTGCTACTTGATTGTTCTAATTTATTTGTATTTTCTTGTTAAATGTAGTTGAAACATCAAATATATATGAATATACCTTTATTAATATTAACATGTTATTAGGTATTTTACATATAATATTTTAATTTTTAAATAATTTTTATTTATGACGTCATCCGGTTCAATTCCGATCGAATCCGGTTGAACCCATTGACCTCTGACCCCTGAGTTTGACCGAGTCGATACCCGGTCCGGTTTTGAAAACATAGACCTGACCATAGCTACGAGCAAATCTAAAATGCCAACTTCTGTTACTTTTGAAAAAACAAGGTTTCTACCCAATATGCTGAGGGTACTCCCATTGTACTTCCCTTCAGCCAAAACATAGTTGAAAACCATTAACAATCCGGCTTGGAGAAGTAGATATATAGTTTATGGTTTTTAAATTTTAAAAAATTGGAGAATGGACGTTCTAAATTTTTTATAGGGATAGATTATTGAAGAAAAAGATAAAATAAAAATTAAATTTGGAAGAAGGGAAATGACTTTGTGTTCTTAATTGGATAAAAGCTTAGGTTGCATTTGAATTGCCATTTTTTGGAGTTTCTATAGTGCAATATAATGTAATGATTTGATATATATGCGATAAAAAGTTGATTGAAAAATATGATTACAAAAAATGCAAAAACTTTTCTTTGAAAAACTTCAATCCAAATATATAATTTTTGGTTAGTTGCTATAGTAACTGAACCACCCTGAAATAAAACTTTTTACTTGTCAAGAAGACTTGAACTAACTTAGAAATTGCAATTCTAGAATCTAGTCTCATTTTATTTTCTACTTTAGGAGAGATTATGACCAATTCAAGACTGATCAAATTAGACTCCAAATAGCAATGTTTTAGTACAATTTTCTTTCGAAGTTCTAAAGCTGCTTGGTAGAAATTTAGGAATTTTCTTTTGAAATTCTAAAATTTGCGGTTTTTGTGCCTACAATTTGAGATTGCAAATTGGAGCAAGAAGATTGGCTCTCGGTATAACAAATACCCTATGCCAGCTATGCCATTTGGTGGCGTATTGCCTACTGATGCAAAGGTGAATAAAACAAAATTTCAAGGAAACAAAAGGAAAAAAGAATATGAAGAAAAGAACTAAAGGCAAGAATAAGGGACAAAAAAAGAAAATTAGCTAGAAAATGATTTTGACCCTTCAATATAAATAACACTATCAATCAAGCGCTGAAAGGGATTTCTCATTTGTATACTCCTGATATCGAATGACCTTTATGAGCAAAATAATTTTCATACAATTGCTTGAATTAAAAACTACCTTTTAATAATCATGATAAAGTTCACTAAGAGATAGAATATAGTAAGAAAAAGAAAAAGGACTATAGTAAGAAAAAGAAAAGCAAAAGCAAAAGCAAAAGAAAAGAGAAAAAAAAAAAGGACAAGAAACCAAGCCAACCTAAATATGTAAACTTTCCTTTGCTATTTTCTCATTTTTCTTTACCATCGTAAATAATGTAAGCCTTCTCTACCTTTTTCTCACATGGCATTTCATTCACCCAGGGTCCTATATAATAAGAAATTATTAGTTTTGATATGGTTTGCACTCTATTCTCGTGAAAAATTTTATAAAAGATATTTCAGATCTACTTAGTACCTTATCAATAAATATTACACATTCTGAATACACTTTAGAAATAAAAATAATTGGTAGATTACAACAAAGCCATTGATTACTGACTTTTTTTTTTCCTTTTGTTTAAAGAATCAATTGTAGTTCCCTATTTACCTCTTTGACAACTCAAATTCATGACCTTTCAGCTACAAGTAGAGTATCTTACCAGTTAGATCATGCTTCATTGTCATTGATTATTGATTTGAATTGATAAAAAAAATTAATAAATAAAACAAGCATCAATCTTCTTCAATTGATATATTTACATAAGAAAGATAAATAAGTTCGCTTTTGACAACATCAATAAGTAATTCTCTCTAGTCTAAGCTATACATAATCCATCTATCATGGATTAAGATTAATGCATATCCCAAAAGTAAAATCATCAATGCACAAAAAGCAATAGCTCAGAAGGGACAGAGGTCAGAATAGAACTTCCACGAACCCTTTGTAATAATCTTGCACTTGGTCTACAACAACAAGGTAATAGGCCCTTGCGGCCTCGCAAGGTCAAGAAAACTCAAATGGCCTCTAGTGAAGTTCAGAAGAGGGGAAGTTACTCGTGATGGGAATAAGCTCAGGAGAGATACCACCATAGTTCTAGTCATCTAGACTTTTGTATGCAAATCACCTTTTCACCACCTGCATGAGAGAAGAAAATCAACAGAATGGTGACTTTCATCAATATAGAGGCATTGTGATAAAATGCAAAGAAGATGGTTTCTTGGTTTTTATTAGTTTGCTGAGGAACTGCCATTGCAATTTGATATACATAAGGAAGGATTTTTTTGGCTATTTCTAGACCAATTGTGGACTTCAGCAGCTTAGGCTCCAAGTGGTTCTTTAATTTAATGGGGAACTGATGGGACATTTTCTCTGTAAATTGCAATAAATAGAAGAAGGCCAGCTTGTCTTCTTGATGTTAGAGAATGCTCATGACCGCTGGCTTTTGGACTTGAACAAATCTCAAGTTTCGTATCAATCGGCTATAGAAGGTTCTGTCAAACATACTATATTCGATCTCCTTAAAACTTATCTGCCAATTGTGCATCACAATTGGCACAAGCCACACAGAGGAGATGAGTTGGGTTCGGCAAATTTGGAATTGATTATGCAAATAACAACATTAGCACCTTTTGGCTCCAAATGTTCCATTTAAATCAACCATGCCAGTTGTTTATTGCCAGAAGAAGATGCTGTGAATTTTATCTTTTTCTCG